CTATGTTACGTCCCGTGGTTTTATTTCGGGGTGTGGGACGTTAGAACTCTTCTGACGAGAAGAGGAAAAGGAGGGGGAGATCTAAGATTTGGTGTGCGTGTGGGTGTTTGAATGAATGTATGTGTGAGTGTGGTTTGTATGGTTATTTTATTTAAGTGTATCTGTACAAGGAATATATACAAAGAGAAAAGAAAAGGGGAAGAAGCCTATAGCAGAGGCATATTTCGCCTCTGTTTGGGGGTGGCGACGTGAGGGCGGACAATCTTAACCCTCCGCAGGAGGGGGACGTCCGAGATGACTCGCGGGAGGGCAGTGGCTGGCCGGGCGATCATCGGCGATTCCCTTGCAGCGAGGGAAGGTGCTGGACCGGGGATCGCGGCCAGAGGTGCCCGTGCCGGAGGGGTAATAGGAGGCCGCGGCCTCCACACCCGCTGAGGGTAGTGCTCGCCGGAGGTAGGCGGGGGTGGGCGGACAGGAGGTGCGTGGAGGTTCCCGGTACGCGGGGGAGGAAGCTTCTGAGGGGGGTGAGGGTACGGGGGAGGAGGCTTCTGAGGGGGAGGCTGAGGGTACTGAGGAGGTGGTGGCGGGTGTTGTTTCTCCCGGGGTTCGGGTACTGGGGCGGCACGGGGATACACCTCGAAAACCCGCGGGTCAAACACCCGCGCCTGGTGGTGTGATCTGACCAGGCGCCGTAATTGACGTTGCCGCCCGCTGCGGCGGGACCGGCCCATGATCGGGCTTCCTGCGGAAAGCACTCATGGTTAAGCTGTTACCCGCACCAGTTAATCAGTGGGGAGGGGAGGTAACAGTGTCCTGCACTGGCACACACGGAATTGCACGGGGTTGCGTAATACTCCTCCTCCCGTTTGCTTTACTCGTGGGTGGAAAGCATTGTTCTTACGGGAGTACTCAGTAGCGTGCCTTTAATCACTGGGATTCATTCGCGTTGCTATCATCATAGTACTTCATTTTAATTACCATATAGTAACCACGAAAACAAGGGTACAGGATTAATAATAACTAAAGAAAGGAGGAAAGATGAGAAAGAAACGAAATATTACTGGGGAACAAAATCGTCCCTGTCCTCTATCACGGACCTTATAAGAAAAGAAAAAGAAAAGGAACTTGAGAATTGGCTAGATATGCCGGGCTGTCGTGGCCCGAATATGCCTTTCATTTGCATGCCTAACTGGCTTGAATGCTTGTTCAGAAACCACAATGCGTATCTGGAACAACGTTATTTATTCCGTTTGTTTCCCCGTGTGCCAGGTGCCCATTCGAGGTTTCCCTAACAGCGAGGGGACCCTGTTAAATTGCCGGTAGCAATGAGAGATGGAAAATTGTCATGATTGTCTGGATGAGTCCCCCTTTTCTTTTGTGGGGTCTGACTCGGGGAGCGGAGACGACGGCGAAAAAGAAACAGGAAAACAGAAGGCACGAGGCGTCAGGAAAGAGAAGAAAAGGCGAGGGTGTACGAGATTCAGATAGGACCCGGGTGCTTAATGCCGGGCAGGTGAGTCGGTTCCAACGAAGAACGCCCTGTGCAAGAGCGCGCATTCGAAGGTGGAGGAAGCTCAGAAGAACGCCCTGTGGAGAGCGCGCAACCGAAAGGTGGTAGACGGATCAGATGAACGCCCGGCAGCGAGCGCGCATCCGAAAGGTGGAGGCAAAATTGGAGGAACGCCCTGTGGAGAGCGCGCAACCGAAAGGTGGTAGACGGATCAGATGAACACCCGGCAGCGAGCGCGCATCCGAAAGGTGGAGGCAAAATTGGAGAAACGCCCTGTGGAGAGCGCGCAACCGAAAGGTGGTAGACGGATCAGATGAACGCCCGGCAGCGAGCGCGCATCCGAAAGGTGGAGGCAAAATTGGA